TTCTACTGCTGCTACTACTATTACTACTACTACTACTACTACTACGACTACTACTACTACTACTACTACGACTAGTACTAGTAATACTACTTCTACTTCTACTTCTACTTCTACTGCTACTGCTACTACTACTACTACTACTAGTACTACTACTACTGCTACTACTACTACTACTACGCTTGCTGATACTACTACTACTACTCCTAATACTACTACTCTATTTATCTACTACAACAACAACTACTACTACTACTACTACGGCTACTACTGCTATCACTACTACTACTACTACTACGACGACTACTACTACTACTACTGCTACTGCTACTACTACTACTACTACTACTACTACTACTACTACGACTACTACTACGACTACTACGACTACTACTACTGCTCCACGAAAACTACCACTACTACGGCGACATCTGCTACAACTGCGACTACGACTACGACGACGACAACTACTCCTACAACTGCTGCTGCTACTACTACTACTACTAACACTACGACTCGTACTACTACTACTACTACTCCGACTACCAGTGCCACTACGACTACTTCTCTTACAACTGCTACTAAAAGTAAGAAGGATACGACGCCAAGTGCTGCTACCACACCTACTACTACTACTACTACTACTACTACTACGACTACTACTACTATTACTACTACTACTACTACTACTACTACTACTACTACTACTAGTACTAGTACTAGTACTAGTACTACTACTACTACTACTACTTCTACTACTACAATTACTAGTCTTACTACTACTACTACTACTACTACTACTACTGAATATGGGTATTTCTTTTCTTCGAATACGATTACCACTCCCACTGCTACTGCTAATGCTACTGATACTACCTACTACTATGCCTACTACTGCTACTACTACTGCTACTACTACTACTACTACTACTACTACTACTACGACTGCAACTAATATTATAAAATCGACTACTACTACTACTACTACTACTATACTACTACTACTACTACTACTACTACTAGTTTACTACTACTACGGCTACTGCTCTGCTACTACTACTACTACTACTACTACTACTACTACTACTACTACTACTACTAACGCTACTACTACTACTACTACTACTACTACTACTATCACTGCTGATACTACTAGTAACACTACGACGACTACTACTACTACTACTACTACTACTACTACTACTACTACTACTACTACTTTTTCTTCTTCTACTACTACTACTACTGCTATGCCTGCTACTAATACAAATACTACTGCTGCTACGGCGACGACAACAACAACTACTACTACTACTACTATTATTATCACGGCTACTGCGACTACTGCGCCTACTGCATCTACTACGACGACGATGACCACTACTACTACCACTACCACTACCACTACCACTACCACTACTACTACTACTACTACTACTACTACTACTACTACTACTACTACTACTACTAGTAGTAGTAGTAGTAGTAGTAGTAGTAGTAGTAGTAGTAGTAGTAGTAGTAGTAGTAGTAGTACGGCGACGGCTACGGCTGCTACTACTACTGTTGCTCATGCTACTACTACTACAAATACTAATGCTACTGCTGAAGCTGATGCTACAAGCGTTACTACTACTGTGATGCTTCCCCTCCTCCTCATCCACCTCTTCCTCCTTTTCATCCTCGTCTTTCAACTACCCCCCTCCTCCTCATCCTTTTCCTCATCCTCTCCCTATTCCACCTCCGCTTTCTCCCCCTCCTGCTCTTCCTCCTCGGCGTCGCATTCACACGACGCCCCCGCTTCCCCTCTTCGTCCTCCCCGCTAATTCCTTTTCCGCTACCTCCTCGTCTTGTTCCAATTCAGCTTTTCGTCCTCAAAGTCTTCGTCATTTCAGAACCCTCCCCTCCTCCCTGGGTGGAGGACGAGACGGCGAAAAATAATGAGGACAACGCCGACGAAATACGAACCCGACTCAAGAACTTCGAGCAAGGGGAAGGGAAGGGCGAGAACACGAGGACGAATGACGGAAACGGGACCGAGAAAAACGGCGCCGTGAACGGCGACAACGCCGTCGTCGACGCCCACGGCGGCGGCGGCGACGACTGCGGCAACGATACGGGGCCGAGAAAAACGGCGCCGTGGACAGCGACGACGCCGACTTGGACGCCCATGGCGGCGGCGGCAACGATTTCGACGCGGACTTGAGGAACGAAACTATTCCATATACCGATACCGCTACTCCCCAAACCTCTCCTGGGGCGCGTTCTGACTGGGACATCGAAGCGGATGCGGCCGTGGCGACGAAGCTGTGTGGTACAGTCGGACCCAGGCCAGAAAAAATCCCTCACGAACATGAGACCCTCCGTCGGCCAAATGAAGCAGAACATCCAAGGGTACCCTCCCCAGGATGCACAAGAACATCCGACTAACACGAAGAACATTAGGGCACCCTCCCCGAACCAACCTCGATCTTCTGCCTCGGTCTCGCTGTATCTTTGCTTTCTCCGAACGACGACAACGGCCACGGCGGCGAAACGCTCCTGGAGGCCGCCGCGCGGCCGCAGGCGCGCAGCGCCGAAGTCGATGGCGACGAGGCGGGCGCGCCCGCCGCTGGGCGGCCGGGCGACCTGGGGGGGGCGAGGTGACGGCGTCGTTCCTCGCCGTCGGGGGCGGGGGCACAGGGGGGGGGGCGGCAAGGAGAAACTGGAGGAGGAGGAGGAGGAGGAGGAGGAGGAGGAGAAGGAGGAAACGGAGGAGGAACACGAGGGAGAGGAGGGGGGAAAAAAGGAGGAGCAGGACGATTCTCGGATTCTCGGCTGGCCACGCGCTCGCCCCGAATGGGCGTGGTATGTATCCAGGCAGTGGGGAGCAGGCGGCCACATACGACGGCAACGACGGCGACGACGAACGACGACGGCGAAAAAAACGACGACGACAAACGAACGAGCGCAGCAACGCGAGCGACAGCGAGGACGACGGCGGCGGCAGCCACACGGTCACTGACGTAATCGGGCCCTATCGCCAGGCAGCCGAGGCGGACGCTCAGCCCATCCGAAATCTTCAGGTTCGGCGGAGGCGGTGCGCAGCCTCTTCGCGTTCGCGCCGCGTGTGCCGTGCATTTCAAGCAACAGCACATGGGTCGGCCGCAAGCGAGGAGCCCCTGTCCCTGCCGTGTTTCGTGCCCTTGCCGGGGCGCAGAAAATCAGCACCAGAACTGCAGCATTTGCCAATGAATTTCGGCCAACGACCAAATTGTCGGCAATTGGCGAAGAGCCCTCGTCTTCGTGCTTGCCCTTTCCCATGCCCTTGCTAGGGCTGCGAGGGCCCAGGGAAGCAGCGTCAACACCAGAAGGATTGACAGGTTGAGTAGCAACGAAAAGGGCCCGACGTCCATTTCCCTGCGGCATACCGCGAGACTGGAACCTCCTCTCCTCGACCTAGCCCAGCGCCGCCAGGCGCGGCAGCGCCAGGCAGCTGATCCTCGTTACGCCGAGCGTCATCAGCACGATGCGCATCGGGAGCAACTCGAGATGAACCACCAAGGAGGTCACAAGCTTGCAGCGCCAGGCGAAATGCCGCACCAAACCAAGCCGCGTAGCGCGCAGCCGCGGTGACCCAGACTGCGGAACGTCAGCAACAACGCCTGCGCAGAGCGCGTCTGCGCGCGAAATGTTTGGGTCTGGCGCTTTGCTGCGGTACGGCGAAGGCGAGACCAGGAAGAGGTGGATAAGGATAACCACAATAAACACAAAACGGGCGCACCATGTTGCAATAAACGATCCCTTCAAACTCCTTCTGAACAAGGCCGTGCCTGAATGTATGTTTCATTGCGGGGCGTGCCTCGTTGAACGACAACCTTCTTAACATCCACCATCGCGCCAAAACATTATGTTTTGGACTTGGAGCCGGCTACAAACATCGTGACTGTTGCGCCCTGAAACCAGAAATCGTAAGAGAACGTCTTTCCCACAATTTCAACACCGCGGATCAACGTGACGGTTGCGTCCTGACAGCCCCAAACCGTGCCAAGTCATCATTCTTAGGAGTTAACAGTTAACTCAAGACTACAAATCTTGAAAACAACTGCAAGCGGTTAGGACGGATGCGCGCGGAACTACACCGAACACCACATATTGAAACAAAGAACCCCCCCCACCATTGTCTGCAAACTTTTTCAACGTACGAACAAACTCCGTATCGCACGCGACGCCAAAACGAAAACTACATATTGAAAACAACCCGCTTTCCATTTCGAAAACGGCTGAGAACTTTTACGACACATGTGCGCGGCGTTGGGGCGAAAACCACATGTTGGAAACCATCCGCCGCCCATCTATGAAGCTGCTGCAAGGTGCCAAGCAATGGACACATTTTGAAAACCGCCCGCCCACCATCCAAAAAACTGCTGCAAATTTTGAAGCCGAATGCGAGCGCCGCTGAAACTAGAATCACATTTTGAAGACTACCCGCTCTTTATCCTTGAAGCTCTCGCAAATCCAAATTTCAAGATCACAAGTGGCCAGGAAAACTCGGGCGAAACGCCAAGCCCTCCCTGCCGACACGTCTGGGGGTGCGACAAGGAGAGTTTTTTGTCCCACCCGACTTTCGAGCCATGGCTCGGGCCTCAGACGGCCGTTGGGGATGATCTGGGCGCCCAGGGAGACTTCCGACGAGGCGCAGCTGATGGACATTGTTTTTTTGCGCCGCAGCGCGGCAAAAGCAATCCGCGCGCGTGTTCGGGCAAGGCGGGCAATGGCATCGCGAAATGACCGGCAGCAAGATTGCGAACAAAAAGCGAGGGAACGGCCGACCGCGGGGGGGAGAGGACGGAAAGCGCTCACGCGGCGGGGCCAGCTGCGGACCGGCCAAGGCGCAGCCGGTGCTGCACCCGTGGCGGTGGGCGCGGGGCGGCGTCGCGGCCACGTCCAGGGGCTGGGACAGCGGCTGCCGTGCGCGAAAGGAAATGCAACTGGGAAGTGCGGGCCGAAGCATCAATGTCCGGGACCCCAAAACTACCCCCAAGCGGCCCCCACGAGGCCCCCGAACCCCCAAGGGATCAAGTGAACTCGCGAGTTTACTGATTCTAGACTTCGGTTTTCATAAAATCCGTGAACTCGGAAGTTCTTTGATCTTAACTTGGATTCCAGTCCAGCGGGGGTAAAATATGTACAAAATGCGGGCTCGGGCACGATATTCCAGAGCTCGACCTGCAGGCCTTCGCTGGATTGGCCGGCGGCCGGCCATGCCCAGCCGTCTGCGGAGGGTCAGCCACGTCCTTTTGGCGTTGTCCTTCTTACCCTCCGTCTTGGCACTGGCCCTCTCTTCACAGGCCTTCCTCGCCTCCCTCATCACTGAAGTCTCCTTCTGCAGCTCAGCCGACGCCCAGCCCTGCCGCACTGGGCAGACCGCGACGTTGCCCCGAACACGGTCGAGGCCCATGCACAAGAGGGCGTCCTGCGCGGTTTCGCCGCCTCCCCGCAACATGCTTGGCATCCCATCGCGATGCCTGTCCTCGGCTGCCTGGTCTCTGCGCCCGAGACATGATCTCTGCGCCCGCGATGTCGGAGATACTTAATTAGTCGAGCTGGCCATGTTCTCCAACATCTGGCAACACATGAAACCGTTCTCGACTCCCCCATCGTTGGCCTGCATCTTCGCGCCAACTTTCCAACTTGCATGTCTGCCCAACGGGGTCTGAAGGTTGGCGACCGTGAAGCGGCAGAACCAAAGCGTTGTTCGAGGCCCTCGGACAGGGAAATCGTTGAGCGGCGTCTCTACCATCCTTTCGACGGCCAACCGGAACTCGCGGAACCAGAAGCCGGGGGCGTCGTGCTGGATGGGCCGGACACGGATGTCGATCCGACGAGGCAGCCACCGCGGCCGGGGCGGCGCCGCTGGGTACGCCACCCAACGCGAGCACTCCACCCGCGACCACCACGAGCGGCGCCACAATGCCAGGCGGCGGGGCGCCTGCCGCTGCGCCCGGTTCGGCAGCGGCTGCGGCGGCCCCCGCCACGGGGCCAGCCCCTGCCGCGCTGGCTGCGCCGCCTGGGGCCCGCCCAAGCGCAGCGGCCAGCGCGCCGACGCCTCCACCGACGCCTGGCACCCCACTGGCCCCAGGCAGGCCTGGGCCGCCTACGCTAGCAGCGGGCGCCGCCACCATGGCCCGCCCACCCGGATTGGGTTGCCAGCCATCGGCGGGTACGGGCAAGCCTCTTCGAGCCGCAGCTACTGTGGACGCGGCCTGAAAGACCTCCAGGGTCGGTGCGTTCTGGCACCTGTAGAATGGCAGCACGGCGCCGTTGGGACCAGGCGGGGGGGCTCCACCACAGGCCCGTCCATTCATCAAGCCGAACCAAGCGAAGTCGAGCCCAGGCAACCCATCCTCATCGAAATTGACCCCGTCGGGGGTGCGCACACTGATGGTGAAGCCCGCCCCCTGCTGAATGAGAACGAACCGTTCGTAGCATATGGGCGGCCCTGGCGCGTTATACGTAACGAACAGCACCATATTCACCCGCTTGAGTTCCGAGCAGCTTCAGCCATCACGTTAGCTGACACGCCACTGTCTGAGCAGGGCCAGGCACTCCTGAGCTAGCTACGCCACGTCCACCTCCTTGTCGCGGACCTGCGAGGGGCTGCACAGCGCAGGTGGCGACTAGTCCGGCCTCGGTGTGGCCGAAACCCGACACCCCCAGACAGCCACAATCGCCGCCGGGAGGCAGCAGAAGCTGGCCAGGCCCAACAGGCAGGCGACGATCAGCACCGAACTCCAATCGAATGCGCCGTCTGGGCCGATGGCCTCTCGTTCGAGAGCCGCCAGCGCCGGTGCGCCCAGGCACGCCAGGCAGGCGGGCAACGCCAATCGCAGGGCACTGCAGACATTGACGACAAGAGGGGGTCCTGGGGCAGGAGGCAAGATATGTGAATGAAGTCTCTCTCCCACACCCACTCGGTTGCCTGAACTCACATCAGAACACAACTGGGCAGCCTCGGATAAGCTTGAACCGCAACGTTTTGCGGCCCCGCTCACGCATGTACCAATTCCAACCATACATCCCAAACATCACGTACACATGGGGTCTCAGCAATTCGCCGGCCCAACGGGCCAGGGCGTGCTAAGATCTCCGGTAACAGGTAAACAGTATTTCTAGTTCGCGCGCGTAGGGCGGCCCCTGGGGGTCCCCGAGCGAAAAGTACCCCGGGCGATCCCCGGCAGATCCCCGGCAGACTAGGGGTCAGAGATGCCGGAATTCTGTTTCGGAGCCCAAGAGGGCTCCAGATCGCCCCAAGAGGGCCCCAAGAGGCCCCAAACATGGTCCAAGAGGGGCCCCAGACGCCCGAAGATCGCTCCACGACGCCCAAGATGGCCTCCAGACGGCCCAAGAGGCCTCCAAGATGGCCCAAGAAGCATCTAAGAGGCCTCCAAAAAGGGCCTCAAGAAGCAAACATCGTTGATTTTCCATTGGTTTTTGAAGGTTTTTGGCGTTCTCGCATTTTCAGCTTCCGACGCTCCAAGACGCCCCAAGAGGCCCCCAAGACCGCCCCAAGACGGCCCGAGAGGTCTCCAAGAGGGCCCCCAAACGGCCCAAGATGGCCCCAAGACTGTCCAAGAGGCCTCCAAGAC